TATATATATATATATACAGCGAGAAGGAATATAACAACTAAGTAGTCCACACAGTAGTACAGAGGGTTCAGTTCAACTCACTTCCATGGAACAGTTAATGTACTTCAACTCACACGTGATGCCGGATCCAAGGTCAAGGAGGCTGACAGAGGAGTCCTCCCCTCTGGCAAGGTAAGCAGTCTGCCACAGTCAGCAAACAGCGGAGGTGGGGTTGGGGGGTCAGCAACAGTCAGTAGCTCGGGGAGCTTAGCGAAGCAAGCCCAGATGGGATATTGAACTCAAACGATGCAAGGCAACCTGCCACCAGCCTCAAGTTCAAGCATTGTAGGCACCAGCAGGGGTGTGTGGAGATGCAGGTCTTGAAGAAGCCTCAAGCTCTAGCAACATAATTCATGGGTTGTCCTGGCCCATAGGTAGTGTAGCTCACAGGTTGGGGCAGAGAACAAGCTCCAGCAGCAGCCCCTGAGCTCCAGCACACTCCAATCACCAGAGAGCAAGAGAAGAGGGCGGCGGGCCTTGCAGAGCTGTTTAGCTCTTTGCCCTCCAATCAAATTGTGACTGATTGATCCCACGTGTTCCTTTTGGCCGGGTTGTCACAATAAACCTAACTATCATACTGTACTTGTTCAATCTGTATGCTATACAAATAATCTGAGAAACTGGTTTATATGAAAAGAATGTGCATCAGGATTGGAGGAAGGCTTATTAATAACATTCAGTATGCAGATGACATAACCTTGCTTGCTGCAAGTGTGGAAGACTTGAAGCACTTGCTGATGAAGATCAAAGTCAGCCTTCAGTATGGATTACAACTCAATGTAAAGAAGACTGCCAGGGGCTTAAGTGGAGAGCAAATGTTTTGAGAATGACGAGGGCAATGAATGTACAAATGTGCTTTACACAATTGATGTATGTATGGATTGTGATGAGTCGTATGAACCCCTAATAAAATGATTTTTTAAAAAAGAAGACCAAAACCCTCACAATTGGACAGTAGGTACCATCATGAAAAATGAAGAAAAGGTTGAAGTTGCCAAGGATTTTGGCTTGCTTGGATCCACAATCAATGCTCATAGAAGCAGCAGGCAAGAGATCAAAAGATGCTTGTGTTTGGTTAATCAGCTGCACAAGACTTCTTCAGAGTGTTGAAAAGCAAGGAATTTCCTTTGAAGACCCAAGCCATGGTATTTTTAATTGCCTCAGATGCTTATGAAAGTTGGACATTGAATAAGGAAAACCAAAGAATCTATGTGTTTGAATTGTGGTATTGGCAAAGAATATTTAGAGTTGTGTGGGCTGCTAAAAAGACAAGCAAATCTGTCTTGAAAGAGTTACATCCAGAATACTCCTTAGTGACAAGGATCACAAGACTTCATCTCACGTACTTTGGACAAGTTGCCAGTAGAGACCAGTTCCTGGAGAAAGACATCATGCTTGGTAAAGCCGAGGGGCAGCAAAAAAGAAGGCTCTCTAGGAGATAGATTGCCACAGTGACTCCAACAAAGGGCTGAACACACCGCAACCACATCCTTCTTTCAGAAATAAAGTTTTCATCATCTCCTCTACCAACCTCCTGAAGAAGTCTGATTTGTCTTTGTCTCGGGTCCGCTCCGCTTTCTCAAGTGTTCTGCACGGGTTGTTTTTTCAGTGTTCCAGAATGCTCCTTTCTCCCTCTCAGGTCTGTGAACATGCTGCTCCTTCTGTCGGCAATACTTAGGCCCTCGAGGAGATGGATGGACACAGTGGCTACAATATGGGCTCAGGCCTAGGAACAATTGTGAGGATGGCACGGGACAGTCCATTGTTCGGTTCTGTCACGCATGGGGTCGCCGTGGCTTGGCATGGACTCCATGGTACCTCACATCCACAGTGAGCATGGCTCCAGGAGCCTCTTTCCCAGAGATTGTTAGCGTGCCAGGGGGCTCCCTGTTCTCTGGCCACCCCGTGGTGTGCTGGAGACAGTTGCGCACACCACTGTGTTCAGGAACATGACCGTGGTAGTTTGAAATCAGCATGGCAGGAAGATTTCCACCCCCAGAACCGGCAAGCCCTACAAACCAGAGCTTCTTGGGATCCTCCAGAAAGCAAGATGCTGAACAGGGCCCTTCCCCACCAAAACGCCACCCATCACTGCTCACCTTTCCTCTGAGTTTTTTCTTCTTGCTCTCCTCACGCTTGAATTTATCCTGATACACACCTGATTTAGACAGGGATTATTTACACACCTTGAATTTATCCTGATACACACCCGATTTAGATAGGGATTATTTGCACACCTTGAATTTATCCTGATACACACCCGATTTAGATAGGGATTATTTACACACCTTGAATTTATCCTGATACACACCCGATTTAGATAGGGATTATTTACAGACTAGCGAAAGAATGCATTGAGGTTAGGTTTATGGAGGTCCCCTCGAAGGCTGTCGGAGGATCTCACAGAACTCGGGGCCGGGGACCACAAAGCCCTCAGCAGCTTCCCTCTCCTGAACTTCATTTTCTCTGCTGTCTTCCTCCGTTCTTTGTCCGCTGCTGCATTTGCACAGGCCTTGGCTGGCTGGCCCAGCTCGGGTTGGATCACATCCTTCAGCTTAAGCACCTCACAGAGCACAGACTCAAAGCTTCTGGCCCAATCCCACAAAAAGGAACTCTGATCAGTCCAGCCTGACTTGGGTACCCCATGGTCCAATGAGCTGTGGCCGGAGGTGGTACCATACACATAGTTTGCTGTACACTCAGGAATGGTTGGAGGTGGGGGGCTCAGGGAAATTGAGAAAGGCTGGGGGTGGGAGAGGTTGGGGAGCCCTGGTGGTGCAGTGGGTTATGCATTGGGCTGCAGATCACAAGGTCAGCAGTTTGAAACCGTCAGCTGCTCTGCAGGTGAAAGTGGGGGCTTTCTAAGCCCATCAAGAGTTACAGTCTTGGAAACGCACGGGGCAGTTCTACCCTGTCCTTTGGGTCACGATGAGTCAGCATTGACTCGATGACAGTGAATTAGGTTTTGGTTGGGTGTGTGGTTGGCCCAACAAAACCACTTGGCTTGTTCCGTACGTCTAGGTGGTTTCTAGTTTTTCTCTAATACGGATATGAGAGAGTATCTTGCTGCAAAACTTTCCCACAGTTCCTATTATTTCCCTAGGCTTGAGTTGCTAATATGGGATTGTAGGATAAAAACATAGGTTTTTAAAGTATCTGGTAAATGTGCCAAATTGTCTTTCAAGGGTGTGTGTCCCATTTATACTGCCCTTAGTAGTGGGTGCACACTTGATTCTTTTTAACTTTTTTTTTTTTTTTAATTTTATTGGGAGCTCTTTTATTTTTTATTTTTTTAATCGTTTTATTAGTGGCTCATACAACTCTTATCACAATCCACACATACATCAATTGTGTAAAGCACATTTGTACATTCATTGCCCTTTTGTTGCTTTCTTTTTTTTATTTTTATTTTTTATGAATACACTCATCAGTGCTATACCACATCCTGGATTTAACATCCCTTCCAAGTGGCCCTTCTGAGAGGGGCTGTCCAATTATCTTACAGGTGGGTTTTGGGTCTCTACTACTTCCACGCCCCTTCACATCATTTGGTTGCTTGTTTTTGAACTTTTGATCCCTCTTCCAGTGGACACCTCATGATCACACAGGCTGGCACTTCCAGTGGGCACCTCATGATCACACAGGCTGGCAGTGCTTCTTCCACGGGGTCTTTGTTACTTCCCTCTTAGAGGGCCGCACATTTAACTACAAGCCTTTAAGGCCCTAGACACTGCCTTTTTATATCAGGGCACTATCAGCTTTCTTCACCACATTTGCACCCATTTTGTCTTCAACATCTGTCCTGTGATTATCATACACCTGACAAGTGATTAGCACACAATGCCACATTATTAGAACAAACCTTTCTTGTACTGAGGTAAGATTTAAGTAGAGGCCCAAAGTCCATCTGCTTGTTTCATATGTATGTGTGTATGTGTGTGTACATATATATACACACAAGTACACCTATTTTTATATATTTACATATATATACTTCCCCCCGCCTTCTTTCCTTTTGCTTTTTTCCCTCCAGCCCCACCATCATGTTTATCCATTGTTCACCTCTCAGTAATTCCTCTCAGATACAACTTGATTGAGCAAAGACGACCAGCAAAGCTACACCCGCCTCACCATCAATTTTAGAACACTTCCTATTCCCCTGTACCTGTCATTGTTGGCTCCCTGCTCACCTTCTGACTCCAATACATTTCATTTTTAAAACTTTCTTTAGCTTTTAGAAAAATTTTTAAAACTTCATAGAGCCTTATTGATAAATGTTCTTTCAATGACATATATATGTGCATATACATTTTATTTAAGTTTAATATCTGCTTGGAATCTTGGCACCCCTCATGCTGAGCCTCTGTAAGCCTACAGCTCATTGTGGTCTCACACACTGAGCATGCCCAGGTAGCCTGCATCAAGACACAGCAGCACAGGCCGGCTAAGTCGTAATAGGGTACTCTTCAGTATGGGAATGGGAAATGCTACCTGCCGACTCAGTAGTTCTCTTTATAGGATTATAACCTATGGAAATATTCTCAGAGGTGGGAAAAGATACTTATTTCTGCAAAAAAAAGGTTCTATTACTAATAAAAATCTCTCACATTTATTGAGTGCCTAACAAGCCCATTGGGCTGCAATCCTCATGGTTGACAGTTTGAAACCAGCAGCAGCTCGGCAGGAAGACCGGCCTTTCTACTCCTTAAACAGTTACAGTCTCGGAAACCCACGGTGAGCCCCTACCAGTCAGCATTGACTTGATGGTTGTGAGTGGATCGGACCTATGCCAAGTGTTTGACAAGCCTTACCAGATTTGACCCTCACACCAACTTTGAAGGCTTCTTGACCCTTCGTTTGGTGAGGAGGAAATCAAAGGCTCAGAGACGTTAAGTGCCTTGTCCAGGGTCACACAACCAGGGAGTGGAAGGTCTGGGATTTGAACCAAGCAGCCTTTTAACTCCTGTGTTTGAATCTGTGTTGTTAATAGTTAAAAAAAAAAAAAAAGAATCTACCTAAATGCATATCAAAAGTAAATTAGATCAGTTGGTCAAGGTATTATCTCCCAGTGGAATAAATAAAAATTAAAAACAAAACTCACTGCCATCGAGTTGGTGCTAATTTATAGTAAGCCTATAGGACAGAGTAGAACTGCCCCGTGAATTTCCGAGACTGTTAACTCTCGAAGGGAGTAGAAAGCCTCATCTTTTTCCCGCAGAGCGGCTGGTGGCTTTGAACTGCTAACCTTGCAGTTAGTAGCCCAGCACATAACCCACTATGCCACCAGGGCATGGTGGAATAATACACAGCCATTAAAATGGAGGGCCAGACATACATGGAGGCAAGAGAGTGTTTCTGCTCTGCAAAGTTAAAATATCGCTCTGTAAGGTAAGTTCATTATGTGTTCGCTGTCATTGAGAATTTATCTTTCATCTGTAGGACCAGGACAAAGTGCATTTTCTTTTCTGTTTATTCCAGAATTTATTGCAGGGAGCATTGTGTATTTCTAAGGTGAGTAGAGAAAAGAAAAAAAAAAATCAGTTCCCAGAGGGGCTGCAGCCCCTGAGAATGGATCTTAGGGATGGCTGCGTTCTAATTCCTTCCCTGGATGGCCTTCCCTGGCCTGACCCTGGGTGGTCAGTGCCTCTTGGCTCCTCTTGACCGCCTCCCTCCTTTTTCCTAGGATGCTGTTTGTGACTGCAGCGCCCAGTCTCTGACCTCCTGTTTTGCTCGGCCATCCCGCTCTGCCATCCGCCACTCTCCTTCCAAGTGCAGACTGCACCCTTTGGAGTCCGGCTGGGGAGGGGAGGAAAGGGCAGCCCCCCCCAGCGAGTGACAGAACAGCTGAGCACCCCGCCTCAACCTGCCTGCCCTGGGGAGCGGGAGAGAACCAGCGGAGGCGAGGCGGGGGGCCATGCTCTCTGCATCCCCTCCCCGTGGAGGGGCCACAGCTGCACCACTGCCAGAACACAGCTGTCACATCAAGGTAAAGCAGGGTTTTGTGGTGACCACTGGGCGGTGATCTCTGACTTCCCAGGAAAGACAGCAAGTGGGAGAAAGACCAAAATGGGACTTTGGAAGCGTCGACAGAGAGATCTAACAGGACCCTCTCCCTGGGTCCTAAGATGGACCAGGCCACCCTGGCCTGGTTCCACCTCATAACCTCTTCTTGGAAGATCCGAGGAAGGGCCACACTTCGGCAGTGCCCTGAAGGAGAAAGGGCTCACAGCTCCTCCGTGACGACCACACACCCCTTCCCTGGGAGAGCAAACTGCAACAAGAAGAGCAGCCCTTGCGCTAGGACTCAGCCCATAGCTCCCGGAGGAGTTGATCCCCATCCAGGGCCCACCCTTCTCATCAGGGCTGCTACCTTCCATCCCGGCTGTCCTGGGCTGCTGTGACTCTAGGAGGTATGATAGGGCTGGTCGTCGGGACCAAGTAGCTGCCTGGAATCCTGGAGCCCTGGATCTCCCTGCTCACAGCCTAGGTACAGCACTGATCTGGAGATGAGGTGGGAGCGTGTGAGGCTCAGGGCCTGAAGCCATTGGAACTGCCCCCCTTGCCAGGATGACGTGGGGGAGGCCCCAACTTTCATTCACACTGACAGAAGCAGGTTAGACTTAGTCTTAAGACCTGGTGCACACACAAAGGCCTCAGCGTCCACTGCCTTGACCTTGGGCCTCTTTCCCCGCAGCCTGGAGGGGGCACCACATTGTCACCCTGTTTACATCCGGGGGCTGGTGGAGGACAAAGCTATTTCCAGTTAGAACCTTCTGATTGGCCAGGTTAGGGAGCACTCTAGGGAGGAGGTCAGTGAGCGTCCCGGACCCCCCAGTAGAGTGGGGCTCAGAAATGCATTTTTGTTTATTTGAACTTTCAAATAAGCACCCAGATTGCTTATTTTAATTTTCCTTATTATAATATTTAAGGTCGTTTACTTTATTTTAATAATTTAATTTACCCCTAAGTTCCGAAGGTAATTTATTGGAGGTTGACATGTACTCTTGCCACTGGCACAAAGGAAGACTTCTAACACCGTGGACAGGCTTGGGGTCCCGATGGGGACAAGGTAGCTCAGCCGCTCAGCTCAGGTCTCCTGGCTCAGGTTCACAGGTCTCTGTTGGCCTGCTCCCCCAACACCACTGACCAGTTAGCTACAGAGGACACGTGGTACTTGCCCTGCTCCCCGAGCTGTCAGTCTGTAAATGCTCGCTGACATAGTGGAGGGCTGGACTGACATCAACCCATTGGCAGCGAGTCAGTTCTGACTCGTAGCGACCCTACAGGGCAGAGTGGAACTGCCCCTGTGGGTTTCACAGACGGTAACGCTTCACACAAGCCCACTGCCACAGCTTTCTCTGGGGACGCAGCTCGGTGGGTTAGCCCTGCGGACTCTGATTGGTAGCCAATGCTTCACCACTGCACGACCAGAGCTCCCTTGGGCTTCCCAGACGCTCCCATGTCGCTTCTCGTTCCCCTCCCTCCGACACCACCTGGAGTGAGTGAGCCAGCCGTAAATGGCTGAGGCTGTGGACGGAGAGCGGGAGGCCCTGCAGCTTCCCGAGTGAGAGCACACAGGCCAACTGACCTGCCAGAAGGCCTCTGATGGCAGCTTTGCGCGTGGATCCCAGAGTGCCCACCTGCCGCAGTTCTGGCCAGCCGGCCGGCCTTTCCGCTCAGCTTCCTGGCTCTTCTCCCAGGCCCGACGCCACTGCCTGCCCTTCCCGTCACGTGCGTGGGAGCTGCCGGAGCGATCCAGCCGATTGTGATGTGGGTGATTAGATACGGCTCCCCGGTGGTGTCCGTCCACTCCTTTTGGTGGCACACCTGCTCATGTAGGCACGGCACTCCTGGCATCCCCGAGCGGGAGCACCAGGATGAAAACAACGTTGTCAGTGGAATTTCCCATCAGGAAGACCCAAAGCCAGCAGCTTCTCTAGCTTTTCCCCAGGACTCGAGGCACCCTGTACCCCCACCTGCCATCACCCTGACCTGCCCTCTCAGGGTCACGTGGACCAGCTACCCCAGTCCTTCCTCTTTTCTCCCATCGGCAGGCCGGCAGGCTCTGGCCAGTCTCACCAGCCACACCCCTGTGCCATCTTGACCTGTGGGCCGGTGGAGCCGGGGCCCCATCGCCAGAGGATGCCACTGCTCCCTAGCCGGTGACTTCACAGAGGCTTCTCCCAGGTTAGCTCCAGGAGAAGGCACTCACAGCAGGCACAAGTCACCAGAGGCCTTCTGCCACCTTTCTGAGTTACAGAGGGCCAGGGAGGCTGCCCTCCAAGCCTGGGGGCAGAATTCCCATGAGACCGGAAGCCTTCCACCTACAGACCGACCGCTCAGCCTTACCACCGTCTCGTCCAAGATTGTCCATGCTGTCGTCTTGCCTGGCCCCCAGCTAGCATCGTGTCGGAGGCTCTAGCTCGCAGTGTCCCATAAGCCCCCGTTTCTGGTTCCTGCATGCCACTGTGCAAGACCATGCCTCGCCGTTCTTACCGAAGCCTCTGGACCCGGGCTTTCAGCGGGTTCAAGATGTTACATGTAAATATTGATTTGGTTTGATTTTTAGCATTTTAATTGGTAATGGATTGTGTTTCTTTTTGTGGGGTGGGGGGATGGTTTGTAAAAGCTCTCTACTCTTCTGGAGTGTAATTTCTAAGTCTGATTTGTTTCTTCAAATGCCTTTTAAGTCTTGGTAACATTCCCAAAGCAGAAAACTGCCTGACCCACAGCAGGGATTTCTGTGGGGGTTTGGGGGTCCTGGGAAGGAATGCTGCCCTTCACCCACCCCTCTCTCCTACTACCCTTCTGCCTTTTTAATACCCCACCCTTTCCCCCTTTCCCCCCCATTCCCATTCTCTACAACCAAAGTCTTGAGGAACCTTGGGGTCCAAGTCCCTTAGAGTCTCTCCTTGGCTTGGGTCCATGGGTTGGCACCAGTTGATTAAAGAGAAGTGGCAGAGTAGAGGGTGGGGGTGGTCAGGGTTGACTCTAAAATGGGCAACTTCGCATTTCTTTTATCTGACCTTTCTCTGAGACCCTCCTGGAAGAAATGGTGTCTGTATGAAATGAAATTTCTTGAAATGTATGAAATGTCTTGAAATGAAAATCAAACCATTTTGGTTCATCAGTGGGTCTTGGGCTGTGCGTCTGTAAGGTATCCAAATCCAATTCTCCATCTCCCTGCCAACCGTTTTTCCTAAAGACTAACCCAATTTAAAAACACCTTTACAAGGTCTTGCTTCTCTGAACTCAAAGTGCCCCACCCCCTTTTGATCTCCCCAGAAACTCTCCTCCACCAGCTGCCCTCCCAGGTGCCTGCAATCTTACCGCTGGCTTTTGTGGACAAGGCCAAGGGCCTGAAGACTTGATCCTCCCACCCCTGGACAGCCAGTGTGGCTCCCCTGGCCCACACTCATGCACCTTTCGTGGTTTTGCCATTCAACCTGAGCACACCCAGCTTCTAGGCCCTACTTCCCCCCTTCCCCTCATCCAAAATGCCCTTCCTCTTCCAGTCTCCTCAGCCCTCCGAATCCTTCCTTAGAAATCACCATCCCCAGCACACCCAGCCGAGAGCACTTTGCTATTGAGAAATGACTTCCCTGCCCCCATCTCCTTCAGCCCTTTCCAGACCAGCTCGAGGAAGCAGCCTCGGAAGGAAGGGTACAGTGCTCCCATCGCAGAAATGAGACCGAGGGGCAGGTGTCATCCCAGAGACACCCGCCAGAAAGGCACTGAGTGTTAGGCTAGAACCTTGGGCTGCCAGATTCCCCGCTTCCCCAGTTCAGCTCTGCCTTGCTTCCTGTGCAAACCTCACTGAGGGCTTTCTTGGAGTACAAACCACCAAAGTATGTCACTGAGCAACCCCCGAATGGAACAGGGCCACTTGGAGTCCCTGATCTCCCTGGGGGCCCTTGCATCAGAATCTGATAAGAGTTCATGAAAAATGCAGCTTTCTGGTCCCCACCCCAGACTTCAAGGCCAGGAATCTGCATGGTTAACAAGCCCATAGGGAGAGCCTCTGTCATCCCTGGCCACCCCATTTGTGTCCACCGTTTTTTTAAATCAGTAACCATGGTGCGCTCTCTCCAGAAGAGCACCATGCTAGGAGTATGGAGTCCTGGTCCTCAATCCAGCCCAGAAAACATCAGAGGCCATTTACAGTCTGAAGTGCTAAGTGTTCAATAAGAAAACAGAAAGAAGTCAGAAGGCAAAAATTATTCCCCAATGCTCCCCGAGATTATTCCCACAATCACCCCCATTAAGTTTTATTCTTGAATTCCCGGCTAGGCGCAGTAAAAAGAGAGACACATCAGGTTACATAACTCTCCTCGTCCAGTCCAGGAAAGCAAGCAAGTGTGCCCCAGGATGTAAATCCTACTAACTTTATAATATGTCTTTCAATGCACTGAGCCAGTTGGTGTATAAACAGGTGAGCCCTAAGATAATCTAAATGTTTTCCAGATGGCTTTTTAGAAAATAACAAACTGCCAGCCACTTGAATGAACTTGATCAGATCACTCAAGGCTGTTGTATGCCTCAGTTTCCCCAGCTATAAAGTGAGGGTCAGGCCCTTCCTACCTCATGTGGTGGTGGTCAGGACCAAATACAATACTGTGCCTACGAGTCTACTTGGAAAAGCATAACGTTCTACACAAAGGTAAAGGGATCTGAGTTGGACCCAGCCCATCCGTGCTCCGGCCCTGGGGGTGTACATGGACACCAGCCCTCTCACAGTGAATGGAAAGGAGCCACAGATCATCCGGCCCAACCCAGATTCAAGCTGAGGATTCAGAGAAGAGAGAAACTCACCCCAGGTCACACACATCGAACCAGAGGCAGGGCCAGAACCAGAGCCCACCCAGGTGACTGGATGCCCAGCAGGTGCTGCATCGCCAATGGTGAATGAGCCCCTGCCCTGACTTTCTGTGGCCCTGGGTGACTCCCTTTCTCTCTGGGCTCAGTCTGTTTGCTCCCTTCCCACCCTCTCTTGTATCATTCCCCCCACCCAGCTTCTCCTCCTCGCCTCTTCCGCTCCTCTGGCAGTTTCCTACCAGCAGGTCCAGGTCCACGGTGGGGTTTTCCTCTGCGAAGTCCCAGGATACTTGCAGCATCTGCCACTCGCCCCTCCCAGAGTGGCTGGCCCAGCATTGCTCCCTTCTGGGTTTTCCTGTCAACGCCTGCATTTCTCCCACCTCACTTTCTTGTCCCACCAGAAAAGTACCTGAGTGTGTGGTCTCCCAACTCTAGTATTTTCCCTCAGATTGGGTGGTACATCCTAGGTTCTAATGTTTGTTTATTTTGTATTTCCTCACACCCAAGGGGGCCCTTCCTTCAATACTGCAGGCAGCCCTGCCTGCCCTTCTCATTGGGCTCCACGCAGCCCCAACCACATCCTCCCCAGCTCCGGTTCCACCTCTAAGCACATTGACTTCCTGTCTGCTCCACCTCAGCACTTCCCATGGAAGAGGAGGAGGAGGAAGAGGATGTGTGTGTTTGACACCCTCCAGTGCTTCTCCTCTCCTCGGAGTTCCACCACCTACAGGGTACTGCATCCTGGCAGAACTGACGGCTAACTCTGACCCGCCCTTCATTCCTCCCAACAGTATACGAAGTCTGCAAAGTCCATGGGCCCAAAAAGCAAAGGGGTTAGGGGACTTGATATTGGGTCCGAGTCCCCCACCACTTGCCCTGCCCACCCTCTTCTTCCCTTGTCTATCCCACTGGTCCTGTTCCCCATTCTGCCTTCCCTTTCCCAGCCCTCTGGACAAAGGATACTTTTTGGTTTCCTTTAAGCATCCTTGAAGGGACCAAGGCGTCTTGAGGGGTAGTGGGTGCCTGGTTTCCTTGTCACATCCCATTCTGAAGCCACTCAACCTGCTCTCAAGGATAAGGGCCTGGCCTGCTTGAATCTAGGATTCTGTGACCAGCACCAGGATTGGGTCCCTCTCATGGCCTGGAAGCCTTGCAGCACCATCCCCTCTCTGCTGGGCCCTGGAATCCCATCTCCTCTCAGCTTTGCCACTGATCTCTGTGCCTTTAGTTTACTTCTCTGAACAGGGGGCTCACCACACGACCCTTGGGGTCCTCTAAGGCTGGACCTTACCAGCCATGCCCCAGGTCCCTGGGACTATCCAAAGGTACCAGGTCGCTGAGGTTGATGTGATCAGAGGTATCATTCCAGCCCAGTGATTCTCAAAGCATAGTACTGGACCACATCAGCACCCCCTGGGAACTATTAGAAATGCAAGTTAGTGGCCTCACCCAGGCCCACTGAATCAGAACCTCTGGGCTGGGGCCCAGCAATCTGGGTGTCAACAGCCTCCTAGTGATTGACTCGAGAGTTGGCACCTGGTGATGGAGACTACCAGTTGGTCCACGTAGAAACAACAGCCTTCTCTGGTCTCCTGAGAGATTAGGAATCCACCTTTCCAACCAGGGGTCTCTTTTTGGAAACTGGAGGACAGAGAGAAAAATCCATTTCTCTTTGGCTTGCCCCTGGGCTGGCTCTGATCACCTCTCCCACTTGTCTGGATTTTATATAAGGCTCCGTGGGGTTGCGCTAGCCTGGAGTCCTGGGGAGCAGGAGGTGACAAATCCTGTCTGTCCATCTCGTGAGAACCTCACAATGAGTCCAGTGGCCTCCCTCCAAATAGCAAGAAACCTAACTCCTCAAGGAAAGAATCTCCAGCCGTGCCCACCCCCACCCCCCAAGAAAGACCTTGTAGATGGTGCCAAAAATCAGCTCCAAACCCCAGAGACTGGGCAAGAGATTCAGAAGCTATCCTCTACCTGATCCTTCTGCCTAGAACCCCGCCAATACTGTGAAGCCCCCTTTCTGCTTGGCCTGGTTTCCTGGTGGTGGTCCTGCAGTCGTGGGCCCTGGGGGACCCCCAGGGAAAAGGCCTTGGAAGGGAAGGGACCAAGGGCATCCTTGGGCCAAACTGTTCTCCTCGCCTGTTGTTCCCCACACTGTCTTCAAAAGGCTCCTTCCCCAGAATGGATTGACTGCTTAGGATGACCATGGCCCAATCCACCAGCTCTCCCCACCCCGATGTCTTATTTCAGACATGAAAATAACTGTACAGTGTAAACTTACAAAGGGTTTTTAATGGTTGTAGATTGGAAATAAAGTATGTCATATGAACAGTTTCCATGGGCTTGGCCTCCTCTCTGGTCTCCTTGGCAGGTTGGGTGGGGCCCCAGGAGATTTGAAACCTGACTCTATCCCACCTCCAGCTGCTTGGGAATTGGGAAGGTCCGGGAATGCCAGAGCCAGCTGGCTGGTTGGGGTCACTTGGTAGGGGCCACCATGTGTCCCCAACCACTGACTGCTGACACCGCAAAGAGTGCTCAAAAGCATTCAAAAAGAAGATGGAATTGTGAATCCTTCTACCCTTCTTTAAAAATGCATCATATGAAAAAAGGATATTTTCCACATATTCCTTATCTATTGCAATTATTTATCAGAAAAATATCACATATAAGTTTTATGGATGAGGAATTCAGGGCTTGGGTTCCTAATGACTCAGCCTCTCATGAGTTGGTAGTTCAGGTGTCGATCAGACATTCAGTCATCTGAAGATTGGACTCACATTTACTGGCAAGTCAGTGCAGGCTGTGGGCAGGCGGCCTCAGTTCCTCACCATGTGGGCTCTCCCTGGGGCTGGGTGTAGGTTCTTATAACAGTTGATTTCTTTTTTAACTCTTACAACAATCCATACATCTATCGTGTCAAACACATTTGTTAGTTGATTTCTTAGAAGTAGTTGAATTCCCCAGAGCAGGATGAAAATCAGAGTGTTGTTTATGATACAGCTTTGAAAGTCATACAGTATCATTGCTACCCAAACCTTACTGGTTATACAGATACCCTTTTCAGTGTGGAAGGGCAGGAGCATCAGGGGTAGGGGGTCATGGGGAGCCACGTTGGACTGTAGCAACCACCTACTGTTTATAACTCCTCTTTTTTGAGGGCCTCACAGCAGTCCAGCCTCTGCTAGGCACTGGGAATACAACAGATGGTCCTGGAAGCCAAGGTCAGTGGCAGTGTGGAGTTGAGGGTGCCAGAGGAGCCGAGAGGAATCGGGAAAGGCTTACGGAGGAAAGGACAGCTGAGCTGAGGCTGCAGATGGGAATGCTGACAGAGGAAGAGAATGGGCCTGGGCAGAGCACTAGATGAGATGGCTCCAGGGAGGAGGAGGAGCAGCAGCTGTGAAAGCCTACTAGCAGAAGAGCAGAGCCGAACTGGGGGACTGAGCAGAAATGATGAGACAAGAGGCTGCGTCTGATGACCTGATGCCTTATGAGCAAAATTATTTTTATATGCGGAAGAATTCAAAGCAGGAGAAGGTCTATATTCTGTGAAGCAATATTCTCACTGTACCCCAGGGCAGCCTGCCTTGTTGGGGAACACTGCGTTTCATTCTTGGGCCAATGGCAGATGAAGAATGGAAAGAGAAATTGGGCACAAAAGTTGGGTACTCAATTGAGTACCTCACAGCCCCAGAAAGTGGTATTCAGGGAACCAAGAGCAAACTTCTGCTTTTAGATGGCTGTTAAAACCTCAGGGTGGACATTTCAGAGAGGCAGATTCCTCTCTCGTGCTAGGAAACTTTCAATGGCTGTGGCTGGATAACCCGCAGTCAGTCATGCTCCCCAACCCCTCGCTTCACACGTTGTGACCTCTTAACTTCAAGGCGGTTTCCGATCTGAGAGGACACTGTCTGCTCGCTGGGGCTCCCAGGCTAGTAAGGGAGAGTGGGGCAGGTGAGGTTTGGCCTCGGGAAAGGTTCACACATGATTTCTCAGCTGAGGCTTACTTAACATGGGAGAACATTGCCGGGAAATGGCAGGGCTTCCCTGGCAGAGGGAAAGCCTTCAGCAAAGGAACCGATACTTGAAGCAAGAGGAAGACCTACAAACAATTTGGAGAGAAGGTCTGGTCTGAGGCCGGAGAGCTCTAGAACTCTGGCCCTGTGATAAGTCAAAACCCATCGCCTAGAGCCGATTCTGACTAACAGTGGCCCTATACATACAGCGTTTCCGGGGTTAAATCTTTACAAGCAGTCTCATCTTCGTCCTGCAGAGCGCGGCTGATGGGGTTTGAAGCACTATATAGAGGTTACCAGCCCAAAGCCAAACTCAGAGCGCCACTAGGGCTCCTTAAACCAAAAGTCCCCGCAAGCCCATTGCCCTCAAGTCAGTTCAGCGACTGCTCTATAACACTCTTTAAGAGTAGGGTTTCCAGGGTGCAAATCGTTACGGGAGCTGAGTGCCGCAGGTTTCTCCCCAAGACGCAGGGTTCGAAAAGATCTCCCTGTGCGCAGCAGAGCACTGAATTACTGCGCCACCAGGGCTACATAAGGGGTTCCAAGAGAAAAAAAATCCATGAGCAGGAGTGATACAACCGTATCGCTTGCGCAAACTGGGATTCCAGTCCGCCCCGGAGGAATCACTGTTCACAATTCAGAAGATTGGGGGAGGAGGGTCCCTCTTGGTTGAGTTGCGAAGCAAGACATCGCACTTGGGCAGGTACCTCTCCGGTGCTTTGCTTCCCTAATTTACATGGGCGCTGTCCCGGGAAGGTTCTGCATAAAGTGTGGCGGAAGAAGCTGTGACGTGTCTGGGCAGGACCGAGATAACGGAGTAGGCGAGAGCGCGGAATCCCGGTTTACGCATGCGCGGCTGGCGCGGCCCGGAACTGCGCGTGCGCCGCGCGTGCGCATGCGCGCTGGGCTGGCGGGAATTTCGGGAGCGGCGGCGGAGTCCTGCAGACCGGCCGTGGCACCTTCGCATCACGGACTCTAGACTTGTCGCGGCTCAGGGCTCCGCAGGGGACCTGGGGCTGCGGGAGAGTGACCTTCAGCTTGTATTTCAGGAACGGAGTCTTGGTGTTGGATGGACGTCACTCGGAGGTCAGAAAGTCTTCAATATCTCCTCCTCCGCCGCGACCCAGCTCACTCCGCCCCAATGTTTTTGGCGTCGGACCAGCCCCTGCCGCCATTTTACCGCCCCCTGGGCGGTCCCGGGACTCCCTCCGGGCTGGAGAAATCCGACGGTGGGCCGCGCCTCCTGCTCGGGTTCAGGGTTTAGAACCTGCGGTCTAGACTCCCGAACCGTGATTGAGGCCAGAGTTCGAATTCCACCAGGCTCTCCCGAACCCCCTTCTGAGCCCCAGGTTCATAGCAAATTTCCTGGAGATGTAGACAGGATTAACTAGGAGAATGGGGCAGACTATTAAGCACTTACGTAGTACAAGCCCTGGCTCACTTTAAATGACAGTCGTAGCCCTCATCTAACTGGAATCTGTGATGGAGGGTTTAACCGAGCGCTTAAACCACTGCGCCACCACGACGCCTTCAATGCAAAGTAATTGTGAGAAAAGCCAAGTCGGGGGTGTGGTAATGGAGTTAGGAGTATTCCCACGCCCTGTGGAAGCTCATAGGTGCTAACCTCGGTAGTCGGATTCGCACTAGACTTGGGCAGAATGGGTTGGTGTGAGGCGGGTAGTTCAGAGGGACTGGAGAAGCCGAGGCCGGCCCCAAAGTACCAAGGCCCCCAGTTAAACGAGGGCTGAAATGTGGAGAACAGATCACCTTGTTTTCTTATTTTCAGGATTGTCTTCCCAGAATGACTTCAGTGACTAGATCAGGGATGGTTGCAGGTGAGTGCCCCAGAGAAAGGCAGTACCTTTTGCTCTTGGGTTTCAGGCTTGCTGGCTCCCGGTGGAAACTCACAGTTATGTGTTTGCAGAGCTGCTGCGTCGTCAGTGTTTCCACGATCCTGGGCACCTTTTTTCCCCTACCTTTTTGCACAGATGCTTTGTTGTGATGGGTTTAATTCTGTATTTTAACCCTTTTTTATACGTACTAGAAGAGGAGCCAGTGATGTCTGTGACTCATGCTCATCCGTTGAAATCATGTTCCAACCCTGTGGAAGTTTGTGCTAAATCACCTGCTTCCCTGGAGATGACTCAAAACTGTACAAAGGAAAGAAGTCACCTTGGGTCTAGCCCCCCAAAAGGAGGATATTGTAATCTCAGTCTCCAGGAAGAACTTCAGTCCAAGTCCCTTCATTTGTCCCCCCAAGAACAATCTGCCCATCATCAAAGCAGAAGGCAATCCTGGCGGCGATCAAGTTTGAAAGGAGTGAACCGGCGGAAGTCACTGCTTCCCTTTGACCAGGGCATCACAGGTGGGGTGCTATCTACATAAGACAGTGAAGTTCCAGCTCAGATAGAGCCAGTGAGGTTTGACAAAGAACATAGTAGAATAGACTTTGCTGCTTACTAGCTCTGTGACTTTGAGCAAATTCCTTCACATGAACTCTGTGGACCTCAGTTTCCTCATCTAACGGAGACCATACTGCCGACCTTGTGGGGCATAGTTTTAAGTACTAATGTAAAACACCTAGTAAGTGTTTTTAGTGTTATTGCTGTTTAAATCATATTAGCTGCCACTGTAATCTATACCATGAATAGAAATTGTAACATGCAATTGTTAAACACTCCCCTTCAGTAGGATAGGTGATGTTATAGATCCCTTGTTGTGCCTTTCAGTTTCACATCCTATTATACAGGGGAGCGGAAGGTGAACAGGTTGGTATGATTATAGGCTGAATAACTGGCAATATCTCAGAAGGAAGATACACAAAAATATCTAAAGTGAAAAGTCTTTAGGGATGCTACATTTTAATGTAATATATAGAAAGATGTTAATCATTTCTCAGTGATTCTGTGTGAATTTACTATTGTAACTGAGCAAACTGCAGAATTTAATGTGCAAAGTCTGGCATATATCAGGAAGAACATACTAGCTGTGTGACTGAGTGGTGTTTAACTACTTTTGCCTTAAGGTCCTCGCTACACTGGAGATGGTAGTCGCACCTATCACACACAGGGTTGTGTAGGATTGATTGAGTTGACTTATCTATAACATAGTATCTGGCACAGTTAACTCAAGTGCTAGCTGTTAATATTTTTAAGGTACCACCTCACTTCAGGTGACCAGATGTCTAGAAATAAATTGGATAAAGCACCTGCTTAGCATATCAAAAAGTGGCTGCTACCAGGCATGCCTATCTACTTTAGAGATGTGCCAACGGGCATCAGAATTCTCAGGTTACTCTGACCTTCATTTCCAGTCTAGAGCTTGTGGACTTCAAATTCGGAGTAGCAGAAAATCACGGTTTCTCTCCTAGTTGTATCAGACTACCCACCAGACTTCCTTGATTACAGACAAGGTATCCAGTTTTTTGTGGTAATAGGAATTAAAGAGAGGCGGTAAAAACTATAAAAACAGCCAGCTTAGGCTGGGGGTTGCAAAAAAATATGCATCCCTCATAATTCTCAACGTAACTTTTCTCTGTTGTGGAGTAGCTGGTTTTATTTAAGTGGAGATACGGTGATTTAAAAACTGCAAAAGTAAAAAATAAAAAAACAATGCATACCTTTTAAAGTTGCTTGAGGATTCAGTGGCCTAGTTACATAAATTGTTTTTGGAGATCATTCAATTATAGCTGATAATTCATGTGACCTTAGAGAAGTTAAATGTTTATTACCTAGCCATTGTGCCACAGTTTCAACATTTGTAAAATGGAATTGATAAAGTACATACCTCAATATTTACTGAGGTGTGTGAAGCATGTCATGAAACGCCTTTTATATAGCTCAACAAATGCTTGCTGTTGATGTTATTAGGTCATTATAGAGAGGCAGCATGATAGAAAGCACAGGACTGTGAAAAGCACAGATTCTGGTGACTGCCTGGGGTTTGCATTCTTTCACTATGATCCCTCGCCTCAGATATATCATTTGTCCTTTCCGCTTCAGTTTCCTCTTCTGTCAAACAGCTCATAATAACCTATAGGGTTTATAGAAAGACTCTTAGACGGTGATGTATCTAAAGCACATGAGGGCCAATTGTAACATTCAAATGTTCCTGTCTCCTTTTTTCCAGTGGTGAATATGAATCATCAAGAAAAAAGTTTGTAAAATAAGTTTGGTTATTTTTGTGCTATCTTGTTTAACAAAACAAGATTTTAGTGTAATACATAGACATATTTCTGTCATATTTTTCAAAGTTTGCATGCGTGGATCGGTAAACACCATTCCTTGCTGATCCTGGACAAACTAGGTGTGACTATATATGTATGAATTCTCCCTTTAACCCGAGAGGGCTGCTTGGGCATTCTTGCCTCAAGTTGCACTGCTTCAGGAGGGAGGAAGTTTTCCAGCTTTTTTATTTTGCTAATTGTTAAAATACCCATCTCTTAACGTGATATTTTATGTTAGCGCTCAGCAGATCCATCAGTGTTGACTTAGCAGAAAGTAAACGGCTTGGCACACTCCTGCTTTCCAGTTTCCAGGTGAGGTGCTTGGGGCTGGGAAACACTTTGTTTTTGTTTGGGTTTTTTTTGTTTTTGAACTCAATGTCACGGCCCCAGACAGAAATTGGTACCCTGAAATGCATTGGTTAAGATTAAGTGGCGTTTTTCCATAAGTAGGATTAATGTAAAGGCCAGATTTAATCCCAGCCACTGATATCTCTCTGGGCTGGGCGTTCTTCTAATCACATGGATGCTGCTAACAGAGATTTCCCTGGTTTCAGATCCTTTTTCCAGGGGCAGCAAATAATGGGACTTTATAGTGTGTGAAGTTAAAAGTGGACATTTCGGTCTGACACTAAAACAGTATATGACCCATGTTATATAATTATATACTCGTGTATAAGCCAAGTTTTTCAGCACATTTTTAATGCAGTTTTTGTGGTAAAATTAGGTGCCTCCACTGATAATCAGGTTGGCTTATACTTGAGTCTATACGGTATGTAGGGAACTAATGTAGGTAAGCATGCTACTGAATCGTTCTGTGAACAAGAGTCAATGCAAGATAAACAGGCACAAAATAACAGGATATAGCTTGGGGGAATATGAAGTTGGCAAGTTTTGGAAAGGTCACCAAACAGGGTTTTGCCAGCTCCCACCCTCGATAATGAGGATGGTTTCCACACTCCCACTCATTAATACAGACCCTCAGCTGTGGCTTTTGTAGCCCAACTACTTTTAAGGATTGGTTCATAGGGATTGGGGACAAAGGCTCTTTGGGCTAAACAGCATGTTATTTGTGTGAATTAAATGACCACTTTTTTCCTTGAAACAAAAATGTAAATGCATAGTCAAACCAACACAGTTTTTCCTCATCTAGAACTTGTGTATAAGCAAACCCTGAGTGACATCCAACTCGTAACAACCTATATTGAGGAACCAGCTTCCTGTAAAACCTATTAAATTTTATATTAAAATGGCCAAGATACATACAGTGGTTCATAATAAACAATTGCTACTTTACAATACCCATCCAAACATCATTATTACTATATTATTTGTAAAGATATTTTAGTGTATCTGGCAATCCATTAAATTGTTAAGTCATTGAAAAGTACACCCTTGAAAATTATTTTGACTGTTATACATGATTTTAACTATTGCTTGATATGATTTTAACTGTTGAATGGTATATCTGGATTATATCCTAGTGGTTTGGAGGAAAAGTACACTGAATACCAGTATCTAAAGAATACAATTTTTTTTATCATTTTATTGGGGGCTCTTACAGCTCTTATAACAATCCATACACCAATTGTATCAAGCACATATATATGTTGCCATCATCATTTTCAAAACATTTTCTTTCTGCTTGAGTCCTGGAATCTGCTCCTCTTTCCCCCTCCCTCTCCCACCCAAGAATACTATATTCTAAGACAAACATTTAACTAATATTAGATACAAACGATATCTAACTCTTGTGACTTGGGTTCAAATTTGATGTGGAGATAGGAATGGAGCTCGTTCATAAACTAGGGGTTGCTTGTGTATGAAAGTCTTAACCTAAAAAATAGAATCAGCTCTTCCCATAGCAGCCTCTGAGGTGATCTGCCAAGATGGTTCCCTAATCATTTGACCCAGATACCCACAAAATCATGCAAATCAAGAGGGTTGAATTTTGGGGTCCATCTTAAGAATACCTGCAAAACTGCCCAGGCCATCAAGGGTATGCATATCCTGAAAGCCACTAGATACTTGAAAGATGTCACTTTGCAGAAGCAGTAAACCCTTCAGACATTGGCGCTAGTAGGTGTACCCAAGCCAAACAGTGGGGTTGGACCCAGGGTCAGTGGCCTAAAAAGAGTGCTGAATTTTTGATGCGTGTGCTTATAAATGCAGAGCGTAATGCTGAACTTAAAGGTTTAGATGCGGATTCTCTGGTCGTTGAACATATCCAGGTGACAAAGCTCCCAAGGTGCACTGCTGGACTTAGAGGTTATGGTCAGATCAATCCATACCATGAGCTCCCCCTGCCACACTGACATGGTTTTTCTTGAAAAGGAACAAATTGTCCCTAAACCAGAAAAGGAGGTTGCACAGAAGAAAAAATCTCCCAGAAGAAACTGAAGAAACAGACTCTTGGCCCAGGAGTAAATTAAGCTTAAAATAAATTTTTTTTTTTTTTTAGTCGTGTAATTTTATGCTTACTAAGCATTATAAAATTACATGAACTCAAGACTGGCCTGGTAAATCTCAGTGATACAGAAAATGCTTTCTTTCCTTAGTTCTCTGTTAAGAAATTGGAACCTTTCCTAAAGGACACCAAGGGCTTCAACCTTGAAAGTTTTAGAGCCAAAGGTAAGTTGCTAGAAAAGATAGTATAACCCTGAATTGCACCCTCTTGTACACTTTTTTAATCGTCACATGCAGGATGCCTTGTGTGTTTTTTTAAGTAATTAAATGCATACATATTAGGCTTTAACAGTTTATCTTGCAGTTCTATATTGCACAGAGAGCTGCTTTGACACCTTAATAACCATATGCTATTGCTTTATATAAATGTACCATATGTGGTTTAACCAATTTCTTTTGGGGTTTTAAGACTGTTTCCAGTCTTTTACTAATATAATAGTGCCCTTAAGACCTTTTTACAGAAGCTTTTGTTACATGTGTAAATAAAAGTAAGACAAATTTTTTAAAAATAGACAAATTCCTAGAATTAAAGTTACTGGGTATGAAATAGGAATGCTTTCCATAGAGCTTATATCAATGTATTTTCTCACCAGTAATATATCTAAAGCTTTCTCACACCAACATAGTTTTATCAAATTTAGATTTTTATTTATTTAAATCTTATTAGGGGAGTTCTTAACAACTATTAAAATAATCCATCATTCAATTGTATTAAGCATGCTTGTACATATGTTGCCATCAACATTTCCAAAACATTTTCTTTCTACTTGAGCCCTTGGTATTAGCTCCTCTTTTTTCCCTTCCCTCCCCCACCCAAATTTAGGTTTTTTAACTATTCAGGTGTTTTGTAGTTTTAACTTGTATTTCTTTTACAGAAGCTAAGCATCTAAAATATGTTTTAGAGCCATTTATACTTTATTCTGTGTATTATCTCTAAGCTTGAAAGTGGCATGATCTCTTTTCTATTTGTAGGAAATTTTTACATGTTAAGGAAATGAACAATTTGTGAAATAAGTTGCAAATATTTTTCAATTCTGGGTAGTAATTACTAACAGTGTAATTACACAATAACCCAGGGTCAGCAATACTGTTACTTAAAAGACACAAAATGCAACTTCAGGCATACTTTGCTAGCAAAAATTATTTCTCTCTCTCAATTGTATTATCATCTCCGCTAGTGTAGATATGCCAAAGTGTTACATTGACAGCTAGTTTGCATAGCCTTTGCTGTCTGTATTCTTTACCTAAATGTAGAGACTGGTTTTCATCTTATGCCCAGGACTCTGCCTCCCACATGCCTCACTACACTCTTGCCATCGATTGACTTTTATAAAGACGTACATTCTCTTTCCAGTACTATAGGTTTCCTTCTCTTGATTTCAAATTTAGTTTAAGTACCTTTTCACCAGTCAAATATAAAAATGCCATAAAGCGTTGTCTTCCATTTTAGCCAGCCTACCCAGAAAAGGAAAATAAAACCTTTCTGCATATTTATACTGCTCTTTTTGCTGAGTGAGGACCAGGCTATAATGGGACCAGAGAGCTCAAGCCACTTAAATGTATTATATCTTTGTTAGCAGTTCACTAAAAATGTATGTCCTCTTTATTTTATAGTAAATAGTTTTCTTTTCCTTAGCATCTTCTGTTTCTGAAGAATTAAAACATTTTGCAGACAAATTGGAAAGTAATGGAACGCTACAAAAATGCTTTGAAAAGCCAAAAGGGTAAGAGCAATTCCCTTTCTGTCATAAATTATTTTCATTACCATTAGGCAGCTGATCATTCAGCTAGCATTTCCGCAGCATTTTCTGTGTACCAGGCTCCTCTAGATATTAGCAATATAGTGCTAAGGAAGTTGGACAGGGCCTCTCATAAAGCCTACATTGTAATAGAGATAATAAATACCTAGACAATAATTTTAGCTAGTGATATGCTAGAGTATTCATAGAAGACTGCTTATGATTTGATCATTGGTCTGAGACCTGTAAGACCTGAATGGTGAGAAGGTATTAGCCATGGAAAGATGAGGAAAAGAGCTTTGTTCAGAACTTTGCTAGCCAATGCAAGCTAGTGATAAACCCAAGTTCATTGACTGTTGGCAAGTAAGAATATTAGATATTTTAAAATCTTAGCTCCTACAGGGTCAAGGCCAACGTACTCAAACCACTTTTCCCTTCATGCAGCACCAAAGCATGTCACTTGGGCTTACATCAATAACTTTTAGTTTTGATTTCACAAATGCAGGTCTACCCTTCCAGTCTCTGCAATTGACATTGCTAGTCAGGGAACGGTAAATAATTTAGCTCAACGTAGTATCTCTTGAATGAGTGTGTTTAGGCCACTGGTTGCATCTCAGCCAGAGTAGTAGAGGCTGTGTGTCATAGTCTTTGGTAGAAAAGCATGAATGAAAGGTGGCACAAATAAATTGCCTTTGCTAGGTAAGGTTCTGACTACATCTTCCACATTTTGGCATCATTAGTGCCTGATCCTATTCCATTAGAATTAATTACCTAACTAAGTAGAATTATTGATGTAAGTAAAACATAATCACCTCTCCACCACTTTTTTTAGTTTTAGTGGGAAGACATGATCATATGAGAAAGTATTGTTGGACTTTAAAAGATCTGGTTTTCATTAACAGGAAGGGAAGAGATTAAAAAAGTGATGTAGACGAGAACTCGGGTGTCTGAAGGCCAGCATGAGTGGCATGCTGACAGAAGAGTGTAGCAGACAGAGTCAAAGTTGGTGAGATGGGTAGAGCCAGAACAGAACCTTACGTGCCAGGTTAAGGTTCTATATAGAAAAGGTTAAAGGTTTTTTAAACCAAAAAATATATATATTTAGAAAGGTTAACCTGGCCATGGTGTGAATTGGTATTGATGGGAGAACTTGAAGATAAAGTAACCTTTTTGAAAGCTATTACTTAGCAATAAAAATGGGATGGACTGTCAACTGTATACGCAAAAAAGGGCAGCATTTGCCAAGGGGAAAGCTCAGAATGGGGGAAGGGATAGGAAAGAAGGCTGAATAGAAACTGTAAACAAAGCAAGGAAATGGGAAGAATTTTGTGGGGATTATAATCAATATCAGGAAACTAAAGTGTAAGTTCATCACTTATTAAATGGAAAACCAATTTGCTCTGTGAACCTTTTTTTTTTCTTTGCTCTGTGAACTTTAACCTAAATTACACACCAGAAGTTTTAAGTGAAGTGGAGATAAAGGATAAATATTTGTGGGAAGAAAAGATAAATTCTAATGTTTTTTACTGTCAGCAGGATATCATACTATTTAAAGTAAATCCTTTTGGGAAGCTTTATGTTGCTCTCAATCTGTTTGTATTCCAGAAAAGAATCCGATTTCTGTCTGGAAGCATCAATGGCTGAGATGAAAGAACACATAGCAAAGTAAGTGAAAATGAGAAAACCTTTCTTAGAAAATTGAAATTCATTCTCCACCTAGAGAAAAGAGTTAAACCTGATGAGTAAAATTAATAGTAAGCATTCTGTTCAGAATACTGTTTACATTAGTACTAAAAGTTATAAGCCTCCATATTGAGTTTCTGTGGATGTGCTTCTGGCCAGTTTCATATATCACAGTCTAGGAATAAAGATGTTAACTTGATTTAAGATTTCATGTTTGACTAAATCACTTTGCTGTTCTCAAAATCAGTAGAGTTTTCCCTTCATGACTTCTATTAACATCTTGGAACCAGATTATACACCTACTATATACTTCAATGGCACCTTGAGGGATTCAGAATGAGGTAATCAAAATTAACTAATTTTTTTTTTTCCTCCTCATTCTGTAGATTTACTTCAGAACGTCATACTTGGGATCAACTCTTGGTGAAGTACCAGAAGGAGGCTGAAGAGATTGTATCTAGGTTAGATCTGTGAATTCAAAACAAATCTGTCTCTTACCTTGGAGAGCTGATTAGAATGTATTTCAATTCACTTGGCATAAATTTGGGCAGATATGCTACAAAAGACCTCTTCGAAGTGTTGGTAAAAAATATTGGATAGATTATGATTGCCAAAAGAAAGGATAAATCTGTCATGGAAATAGTATAGCCAGAGTGCTCCTTACAACGAAGGAGATGCCAGCCCCTCAAAAAAGACATTGTACTTGGTAAAATAGACAGGTCGTAGAAAAAAGAAATCCCTCAGCAAGATGGCTTCATGCAGTGGCTGCACCGATGGGCTCACAGACCGCCGTGAGGGTGGTGCAAGACTAGGGTCTTCTGAGTGGGAACTGACTCCACAGCACCGGAAGACAACAGTAGCTTTTGGTTTTGTTTTTAATCATTTTACTGGGTTTCTTACAGCTTTTATAACATTCCATGCATCAGTTGTATCAAGCATATTTGTTCATAGGTTGCCATCATTTTCTAAACATTTACTTTCTATTTGAGCCCTTGGTATCAGCTCTTTTATCCCTCCCTCACATCGTCGTTCTGTATTCAGCCTTTTTAAGGAACCACCACACTTCTCCACAGTGACTACACTGCTGTTCCATCCTACCAACAGTGGATAAGGGTTTGTCCACAGCTCTGTCAACACTTAGTTTTTTACTGTTGTGTGTTTTTTTCTCCTTTGCCATTTTTCTGAGAGTAACCATCTTAGTATGAAATGGTATCGGTGGTTTTGATTTGCTATTCATGTGCTTGCTGATTGTTTGTATATCTTTAGTGAAATATCTATTCAAGTCCTTTGCCCACTTTTTTAACAGATTGTCTTGATCTTTTATTGTTGAGTTGTAAAAGTTCTTTATGCACTGTGAATAATCAGATATAGGAGTATGGTTCCTAAATAGTTTTTCATATTCTGTTCATTTCCTCTGTACTTTGTTGAGAATGTCCTGTGAAGCACAGCAGTTTTTTATTTTTATGAAGTTCAATTTACCCATTTTGTCTTTTGTTACTATACTTTTGGTCTCATATCTAATAAAATCTATGGTCAAATCTAGGTCCTGAAGCATTACCCCTATGTTAGAGTGTAGCCGGTTATATATTTGGATGCTATCTGAAAGGTTAGAGTTTTGAGTCCACCCAAAGGCACCTCAGTCTACCTGCCCCACGTCAGCTATTAAAAACCTTGTGGAAGTACAGTTCTACTCTGAACTTGAGTAGTTGCTGTGTGTTGGTATTGACTAGTGGAACTAGTTTTACTTTTATGTTTTAAGAAAATTGTATTCTTATCTTTACAGAGCCCTAGTGGCATAGAGCATTACATGTTGGGCTGCTAACCTAGAGATGAGCAGTTTGAAACTATTAGCTGCCCCATTCTTTCTGTTCTTGTAGAGATGTATAGCCTCAGACACCCATGGAGGCAGTTCTGCTTTGTCTGTAGGGTCACTATGAATCAATTTAATTAATGGCAATGAGTGTTTAGTTTATTCTTACATCGATCCATTTTGAGTTAATTTCTTCATGTGGTGTAAGGTCTGAGTCTTGTTTCATTCCTTTGCCTATGCAGTTTGTTTTGTTTTTAATTTTAATAAATCATTTAGGGGGAGCTCTTAACAGCTCCTATGACAATCCATACCTTAATTGAATCAAGCACATTTGTACATATGTTGCCATCAACATTTCCAAAACATTTACTTTCTACTTGAGCCCTTGTTATCAGCTCTTCTTTTTCCCCTACACTCCCACTCTCGTGAACCCTTGATAATTTATAAATTATTTTTATTTTCATATCTTACACCACCCACTGTCTCTCTTCACTCACGTTTCTGTTGTTCATTCCTGCAGGGGAGGGGAAATCATTGTGATCGGTTCTCTCTTCCCCAAGTTTCAGGGGTTTTTAGCACTATTTATTGAAAGAATTTTTACCCAGGGACTACTTATCACCCTTGTCTAAAATCAGTTGACCATGAAGTTCGTTTCTTTGTTCTACTCTATTTCATTGGTCTGTTTTATGTCTTATCATTTATACCAGTTTCAGACCGATTTGATTTTACAGCATTGTAACACATTTTTGAATTAGGAAGTAGGAATCCTACTTTGTTCTTTTCCAAAATGGTTTTGTCTTTTTGGGGCCCTTGGAATTCCATATAAGTTTGAAGATTGTTCTGTTTTTTACCAAGAAGGCTTTTGGAATTACGATAGGGATTGTATTGTATCAGATCTGTAGATTACTTTAGGTAATATTGACATCACAATAATTTCATTTTCTAGTTCACTAACACAACTTGCCCTTCCATATACTTGGATTTTTTTAAATTTTTACTATATTAAAGTGTTTTATAGTTTTAGTGTACAAGTCTTTTGCCTCCCTAGTTAATATATTCCTAGATATATGTTTTTAATTCTTTTGTAAATAGAACTGCTTTCTTAGGTTCCTGATAGGATTGCTCATTGATGATCTGTGCTGATCTCCTGCCCTACAACTGTGTTGTTAGCTCTGGAAGCTTTTGCGTGGATTCTTTTTTTTTTTTTAATTTTTTTTTTTTTGGCGTGGATTCTTTTGAAGATTAGTTTTCTTTGTTTCTAACTAGCTTCTGTGTCAAAGAACTTGTCAATTCCCATTTTGTTTTTCCTCCCTTTATAACCACTCAAGACTGGTGTTTGGGTCTAATGGGTAAGTAATCTGTGGGCTTTTAGGGCTATGATCCTTTCTCTCTATCTCTCTAATCATATTCTGTTTTATAACACAAAAACATGTAATTGTGCAGCCCATCGCATTAAAACAATGACGGTAATCCAGGTATAAACCCCCCATGTATGTGGTTCTTTTTTTTTTTTTTTTTTCCCATCCCCCCACCACCCCCTATCCCTATCCCAGCCTCATTCCTTCCCCCTAGCCCCAACCTCTAACCTTGGTAAAGTCTTCCTGTGGTATGAAAACAAAATTTTTTCCCATTATAATGTGCCCTAAAATATTTTTCTTTATGAGATTAACTGACTTTGCTGAGCTTAATGTTCTCCAATTTTGTCCATGTCATATAAGGTATAATAGACTCATCTTTTTTCTTTTTTAAAAAATACTTTTATTGGGGGCTCTTACATCTCTTATCACAATCCATACATTCATCCAGTGTGTCAAGCACATTTGCACATATGCTGCCATCATCATTTTCAAAGCATTCTCTTCCCACTTGAACTCCTGATATCAGCTCCCCATTTCTTCCCCTCCCTCATCATTGTTTTTTAAGGATGTATAATATCCCATTGTGTGTCTATACCAGAGTTCATTTATCCATTTCCCCACAGACAAGGTTTTGATTATTTCCATCTTTTTGCTATTACAAGAATTGCTGTACACATTTGTGTACACACATCTGTTTGCATTCTGTTCTTTATTTCTTTAGGGTATATGCCAAGTAGAGAGATTGCAAGATCATAAGGTATTTGTATTTGCATATGTTTAAGGAGATGTCATACTATCTTTCATAATACTTGTACAATTCTGCAATCCCATCAGCAATATGAGAATTCCAATTTTTCCATATTTTCTTCATTTATTATATTGTTTTTTGTTTGTTTTTCATTTTGCTAAGTGTCAGCGTAAGGTGGTATTTAATTTCTATTTCTCTTAAAGCTAATGAATTGGAGCATATCTTCCTAAGATTGTTGGCCACCTGGATATCATTAGTAAATTGTTTATTCACAAATTGTGCCTACATTTTGATTGAGTGAATTTATGTTTTTCTTATTAAGGTTTTTAGCTCTCTATAGATTCTTTTAATTAGCCCTTTAACTGATATACCATTGCCAAGTATTTTTATTCCCAGTCTGTGGGTGCTCTTTTTACCTTTTTGATGGACACAGAAGTCATAGTTTTAGAAGGTACCAGTCCTTTATTCTGTCTTTAGTGTGGGTGTCTAGTGGTATAAAAGTTATTACTTGGGAAAACAGTTATTACCAAGCAATCATTTCAGAACCTCTTGTTATAAGAGCCTGTATCTGTAGTAGAATTAAAGAATACTGATTCAAGTTAATAAAAACTGTATATCAGCTAGTTTGGTACTAATTTGGAAACAGTCCGATAGTCTAATGGACTAAAACATCAGTCTCTGACTGAGATTAAAAGAAATAGATGGGGAAAGAAGAAGAAATAGATGGTTCCTAGCTATCACTACTAACTGCTTTCAAGAAAATTTTGGGAATGATGAGGGCAACAAATGTATAGATGTGCTTTACACAATTGATCTATGTATTGTGACGAATTGTATGAGCCCCAATAAATTGATTTAAAAAAAATAAATAAATAAAAAAAGAAAATTAAAGGGGGAAAAAAAAAAAAAAAGAATTACTCTAGGAGGTTTTAGATAGAGTGGGAGCAAAAAACCAAAAACACAGAACAGATCTCAAAATCATAAAAGAAGCCAAGTTTACTGGTTGGGTAAAGACTGGTCAGATGAACCTCACCCTTCAGGCATGGATCTGCACTCAATTCTGTTAGACTAATTAATCATTTAAAACCCAAAGGGCAGCATTTAATCAAGAATAAAGTTGAGAGGGCTAGGAAAGGAGGAGGACTAGAAACCAGAAACCGGGTCTAAGAGTGGTAGGTAATGTTGCATTGAAAGGATGGCAATGGATGAATTGAACCATAGTGTGCATGAATTGTTGAGTGTAAAACTAATGAAATGTTCTGTGAGCATTCACTTCGTTCATCATAAAGAGTTCTTTTTCAAAAAAAAGAACTGGGGGGACCTGGGAGGGAGGGGAAAAAATGAGGACCTGATGCCTGGGACTTAAGTGGAGAGCAAATGTTTTGAGAATGATGAGGGCAATGAATGTACAAATGTGCTTTATACAATTGATATATGTATGGATTGTGATAAGAGTTGTATGAGCCCCTAATAAAATGATTAAAAATAAATAAAGAACCAGTGGAATGCTTTTGAAAAATATCACCTCTGTTCCCCTTGAAAAACAGTATATATAGGAGGTTTCCAAGCTGATTTTGGTCTTATCGTCCCCAGAAAATGATTATTAATTTTTTAATTAGTCTTTGTCTTGTTTTATTTTTAGGAAATCAACTGAAGACAAAATTGTTGAAGTAGGTCCTGCAACATATCTTGGGTCTTCCCAGAATGAAGTTCTGAATACAAAGCCCGACTACCAGAAAATACTACAGGACCAGGACAAGGTCTTTGATTGTATGGAATTGGTGGTGAGTTGGTCATGTGTACTTGGTGGAATTATTTGGCTTTGCTATCTTGTCATCCTTGGAAATGTAAACGTCCTAGAGAATTTGTGTGATGAGGCAAGCATACTGAACTTCATCTGAAGGAAATAGGAAAAGAAAAAAATGACAAGTAAACATTGGTGGTAAATATGAATAAAGCAAGTTAAGGAGATAGCATACAGAGCATCAGGTACTGTTTTATATTGGGTAGTTATTGAAAGCCTCCCTAATGTAACATTGTAGCAGAGACTTGAAAGAAAGAGGGAGTGAGCCATAAGGAGGTAGCACTTAACAGGATAATGTAAGAGTTTATTATGATGAACTGTGCATCAAGGTAAGGAGTCCTGGTGGCATAGTGGCTCTGAGTTGGCTGCTAACTGCTGGATCAGCGTTTGAAAACCAACAGCTGCCTCAGGAGGAAGCCTGGCTTTTCTACTCCCATACAGAATTACAGTCTGGAAAATTCACAGGGCAGGTCTACTCTGCCCTGTAGGATCCCTATTATGCTTCAGTATAGACTCCATGGCAGTGAGTTATGTACGAAGGTTTGTCTGCCATGTGCTAAACAAATGTTTAAGCTCTCAGAGGTACTAACTGAAAGGTTGGTGGTTCGAATCCACTTGGAAAAAAAGACTTGCTAATCTGCTTCCAAATGTTAACAGCCATGTTTCATGTTAAACCCTATGTTTCATGGTTGTTTTGCACACCTGGGTTCGTTGTGAGTCAGAATTGGCTCCAAATCAACATTTCCTTCTTTTTTAACTGAATATAAGGGTGAGGGTTTTGTGAAACTAAGAATTTTTGAAATAATTTGCAACTTAGAGGTCACTGAGTTGTTGCTACCTCTAGTCCTGAAGGAACAATAACTGCCAGAGCTGTTACTGTGGCTCCCGGAGGGCAAACATCGCATGTTCTGCTCCTTTGAAAGCTGTGGTCTTCGTTTAACATGGCATAGGCAGCGCAAGATGACTCTTCCAGGCATGATCTTGGGTAATAAATACTGTGACCTTTTGAACTGCCCTCCTATTTGAGCCCCCTTTTGACCAGAGCCAGGGGAATTGGGGTCCCAGTGTTAAAGGTCATATGGATCTGAATCATAGATCTGGAGGTAGAAAAGAGCGGTGTGGATCTATAAGTCCCAGAAGTTTGAAAGAACACCAAACAGAGCTTTTGAGTCAAGTTTGCCTGGCTATAGGAAGGACATCAATGAAGCCAGTGAGTGGTTTCTTACAGCTTAAGGCTTTCTGTTGTCTGCAGATGGATGGACTGCAGGGATCCGTGAAGCAGCTGCATGCCTTTATGGACGAAAGTTCCCAGTGTCTCCAGAAGGTGTCAGTGCAGCTAGGTAAGTATGCCTCTTGCTGGCACGATGGCATGGGTTTGTTTTGTTTTTTTATCTGGTGGCTAGCACTTGACAGAAACTGCCCTTCAAGCATATCGTCCAGAGGTCAATGACTAATTCAGGTGATTGCCTGACTCACCCACTCATAATTAGGATATTATAGATACTCATATTGGTGGGAAATTTGTAGGTATAAATTACACAGAAGTACAATGGACTGAAATTAAATACTTACAGATTATTGTTTTGGTAAATTCAAGTTTAATTATTTTCTTTCTTTTTTTTTTTTTCTTAAATTTATTCTTTATTAATATTTTAAGAAAGAATTTCTTTTACTTTTTTTGTCAACTTTTCTTTATTTTGCTTTTATTTTATTTTTTAAAACATTTTATTAGGGGCTCATACAACTGTTACCGCAATCCATGCACACATCAATTGTGTAAAGCGCATTTGTACATCATTCTCAGTTTAATTATTTTTCTATTGCTTTTTACCTCTTTACTCTTCAAGAATCATTTCAAATGATACTGCAGCTACTTTTTTGTAGTTTTTCATGACCTCCTTTAGTCCTCAATTATTTGCTGAATAAGCACACCTAATTTTTTATTTAACATTTGCTATTATACTTGTACTTTGATAACTTTGGCTGTGTTGTCAGGAGAGACCAATCCCTGAAGAAGGACAGCGTTCTGGTGGAGGTGGGGGGTGGGGGCGGTGCTTATCTGCCGCAACGGGCTCAGGCGTGGGAGCCCTGTGTTTGGTGCTTTTGTACAGAGGGTCTCTGAGTAGGAAGTGACCGGACGCACACAACAGCAACAACACTGGTCGTCGTTCTGCTGGCTTTCCTTCAAGCTACCATCTCTCAGGATAGAGACTTGTCCATGTGTGGCCTATAGACGTTTTCAATAAATGTTAAATATGAATTCATTTGAAATACTATTTTTTTGACTCCACTCTTCAGGGAAAAGAAGCATGCAAAAATTAGATTCCTCACCAGCTCGTAAACTGCTCAAGCTTCAGCTACGAGATCAGCCTACCACCCGTTGACCTGGATCTTGGTGACTGCGGCGTTTGTGTCTGCATGACGAAAGGAATGGAAAGCTGTTCATCAGTTGGCAGATATCTCTGACTGACGGTCAGAGACTTGCCTTTGAAGGTGCCTGTCAAGCCATGCATTCCGTAAGCACATTGTTACCCTCAAGGGTAGTTTCCATGGAAGCCTAGACACTTCCCATTCATATGCGAAGTGCTGAAAACTTCTTTTGTAGAATGATGTTCAGAACCAGTGACGTATTTTTAACATCCCTCCTGGTCAAAAATCTTCAACCTCTGAAGATGTTTTGCTGTTTTTGAAATAGTTCAGCCATTCAAGACTAAGTCCCATGAAACATTTAGGGGATAAGTTGGGCTCTGCTTTTAAAGTCATGAGACTGGTTTTCTTTTCTTTGTTGAGACTGGTTTTTCAGTTTGTCTCTGAAGATGATTCCAGGAAGAGGAGATTTGAGCACTTGACTCAATGTCCAAAGTGAAGGAAATGCCAGTCATTCTGGATGCCATGCTATTTGCACTGTGCTTTCACCCTTGCTAGTTGACAGACTAAACCCTGAACTCATTACTTGAAGGGGATTTGCATTCTTTTTACTTGTTTTATATATTTATATTCTAAAATTGTACATAGTTAAATTGCTTTATAAATTTTCTTTGTGAATACATGTTTTTTCTTTGTGAATATTTTCAGTGTATATATTAAAGTAAGGACGCTTTAGCAGAAAATAGAATTCCCTGGCAAGATGCTAAAGTTGGTGTGAAGATAGGTGTCAACACTGGTTATCAATAAAACTTAAATAGTTATTGTTCATGTTTCATACTCTCTGATCACATTGATGGGCAAAACTCATTGCATTTAACATGCAGTCCTAATCTTTTAAGTCTTTTAAAGAGTTTTATTGGTACATAATCCACATACAATTCAATAGTTCAACCATATTGAGAAGAGTTGTACTATCTATACAAAAATCAATTTTGGGACATTTTCTTCTTGTACTCATTATTATTTATTAGCTCCCCATTTCTTCTCAACTTCTGCCACACCCAAGAAACCAATAATCCAGTTATTATATCTATAGATTTACCCATCCTGAATTCCCTGTACCAGAAAACATACAAAAACTAACAACAAAATGAACCAGAAAAACCTCAGTCAAAAGGAATGCAGAAAAAATTAAAAAGAATAAAATGAGTCAAAGGAGGTCAAATAATGTTAAACCATAGTCCAGTTTGTGAGATAGGATACTTTCACTTAAATTTCTTTTTCTTTTAAGTTTATTTTGGGTTTGCTGAGAATATACCCAGCAGAACATAAATCAATTGAACAGTTTGCATAAGCAATTTAGTAACATTAATTATATTTTTCACATTGTGCAACCATTTTCACCTTCCTTTCTGAATTATTCCTCACCCATTAATATAAACACTGTTCTAAGGTTCCTGTCCGTTGAGTTTCTGTGTTACTTTATTGTCATATCCAGACTCACAAGCCGTCTCACAATGCTGACTCATAATGGCCCCTGTGCATTTCTGAGACTGACTATTTACAGGGCAGCAAGCCCAGTCTTTCCAGAGGAGTTGCTGGTGGCTTCAAACTGCCCACCATGTGGATCGAAACCCAACATGAAGCCACTACTCCACCAGGGCTCCTTTAATTTCACCTAGGTAATTGTTAAAAGTACTCAAAGCAGACTTTTACTAGTGAAACTAAACTGTTTGTTTTTAAGAAAACTTCAGGAGATATTCAAGTAAACATGGGATATGTTATGCCTGACTCTCCAAAGGCCAGTTAGGCCGAGGATACTTACTTGCAGTCCTTTAAGACTCCAGACACGGTGCAGTAGACCTATACTTACTTTTTTATTCAGTCACAATACTACCTAGCGCATTGAATCTTATCAGTAACGTGCAGCTTTTCTATCATAGGCACCGATGTTTTATTCATGTGCTTACTGGCCCCCCCTCCCCCATGGGTCAATTTTAGGAACTGGAGAAATGAAAACATTTTTATTTCTTCCTGAATGGTATTCTTGACGTCCTTCCACAGCACATTAAGCCTTCTGTCATTAGTGTTGAATGTGTCAAATCTGTTCTTGAGATGTTCTCAAAATTCAGGTGGGATAGACTCAGGTCCTATTTTGACTCTGGTGGATTTTTCTTCAGCTTCAACCTGAACTTACATATGAGCAATTAATGGTCTGTTCTCCAGTCAGCTCCTGGCCTGCTTTTAGCTGCTGATAATTGAATCCTCTATGGTCTCTTCTGCCAGATGTGGTCAATTTGATATCTGTGTATTCTATCTGGAGAAATAAATGTGCAGTTGCCTTTTGTGTAGTTGAAAATAATTATTTGCTATGAACAAGTTGTTGGTCTTAAAAAATTCTATCATGTCATCTCTAGCTTTGTTTCCACCACCAAGATCATATTTTCCAACCACTGTACCTTCCTCTTTGTTTTCTACTTTGGCATTACAATCACTGTGGTAGTTAGATAATTTCGCTTGATAAGTAAGTGTAGGGGTGGGCCTTGTGGGCAGTGCCTTCTCATGAGGATTCTGGGAACTTCCTCTCTGCCTTCGTCTTCCTGTTGACAAGCGACTCAGAGACTTAATGAGACCTGTGAGGAGCCCCTTCTCTCTCTGCTTCTCTTCTGTTGGCAAGCTATGTGGAGCCGTGCTGAGGCCTGCACTAGCCCTGTGATGCTTACGCCACCATGGATCCACAAGACTTTTCACCCACCAACCTGTAATTTTGCATTCTGCATCATTGCATGTGGCTGCGTGAGTCTGAAGAGAGATTTATGAACTAGTATCAGACTTACGGACTTCATGTGGACTGGGTTGGGATGTTTTCTTGATATACAATTACTATTTAATATATAGCTCTTATATGTAATACTGTATATATTCAAGTATAAGCTGGGTTTTCTCAGCACATTTTATTCTTTAAAAAGCCCCCCAGTTTTTTGTGTTAAAATTAGGTGCCTTGGCTTATACTTGCGTGTATACAGTAAGTATCTCTGAATTTGTTTCTCTTGTCAGCCCGGCCTAACACAATCCCCAATAATTATGAATGCATTTTGATTGCATGTTTCCTATTGAAGATAGAATTTTTCAGTTTCTTCAAAATAGCTTTTGTGATTGGTGCATGAATTTGAATAATAGTTGTAGTTTGAATTTCCTTGAAGGTGGGTAGATATAATCTTATCACAAGCAGCGTTGTACTTCAAGACTGGTTTTGAAAAGTCCTTTCTGACAGTAGATGCAATGCTATTCCTCAGTTGTGGCGTTCCAGCTTTGTGGTATTCCTGGGTGGATAAATCATGATTTTCTGATTCAAAATGGCCAATACCAGTTCATTTCACCTCACTAATACCTAGGATATCAATCTTTATGCATTCCATTCCATTTTTGGCACCTTCCAATTTTCCTAGATTCATACTTCGCATATTCCAAGTCCCTATCATTAGCAGATGTTTGCAGCTGTTTCACCTGACCCTGACTTGTGCCTCATTAGCAAATGAAGACCTAGAAGGCCCCACCCCCATGATGTTCTGCTTCCATTCATCAGGCTGTATTTGACAATGTTTCGAAGCTGTGCATAAGGTTTTCAGTGGCTACTTTCTCCAAGTGGGCAGCCAATTTGTTGTCTGTTGGTTAGTCTGGAAGTTCCCCTGAAACCTGTACTTTTAGTGACTCTGCTGGCATTTGAAATACCAGTGACATAGCTTCCAGCATCACAGCGACACAAGTGGCCACAGTATGACAAACTGACAGGTTAAGTGGTGGTATTGCTCATAGTGCCTAGAAAATAGTAGGCTTATAACCTATTTGTTAAAAACTTAGCTCTGCTGTTGACTAGTTCATCAAGAGAAGTT